TGTGCCTGGAGCATCCACTATCAATAAACCATTTTTGCTCTGAGATAGCTCCAGCACACAGTTCCTGCAAGATCAAAAGAAAGGTTTAGGTACCCAAGCAATGTTGGGTCCTGGGGGGTCATGGAGTATGGGTAGTTGGTACCATTTTGGTCTCATCAGGTGAAACCTTGGTGGATGGTACCCATTGTCCACCTGGTAGTTATAGTAAACTGAAGTGTGATTCACTTTGGGCAGATGCTTGTGAGGGTCATGCTTTCTGTTTACGTACTTTTGCATAACTTTCTTTGTTGGAAAGAAGTCCCATATACTATCAAGAGCAGAGGAATGGTTAGCTCTGGGCTTTTGAAGTTGACCACCGAACCTCTTCTGCCTAAAATTAACTCTCTCTTGATATCTACCCTTCTGATGGTCATTTCTGGCACGGTTATAATGAGGTTGTCTGTTATTGAATGGTCTTTTATTTTTGTTTTTCTGAAAACCCTTTCTGTTGTTAGGTTTTCTGCCAGGTTCATTATTTCTCAAAAAGAGTTTCTGTTGAACCTTTATCTTCCCTTTTTCTGGTCTGACTTCCTCATGAACAACCTTGGTGCCAGATACACCAGCTTGGCAGATGTGGCTAGAGATCAGTGGCACTATGACCTTATCTGCCTTAGCAACACTGGTGCTAGGCATTACAGAAGGCTCACCTGATTCTGTTGAGCCATAACCAAGAGCAAAGTCAGTGCCAATTTGTTGATCAAGTAAAATCTTTTCCATGGAAGACTGGGCCTTCTGGTAAGCTTTGTACTTAATCTCAAGAGGCTCAATTTCTCTTATTCTCTTGAGAAGAGAAACATTTTCAGTTTCCAGCTGATCTCTCTCCTTAATTAGAAGATTGATTTTGATCTCAACCTCCTTTTTTAAGTCAAGATTTTCAGCCTTCAGCTTACTGTTTTCTTCTGTGACAGAGGAATAAGTGGCTTGAATGACCTTAAACTCTTCCCAAAATTCTGACATTGAATCAGAATCAAAAGCTAAGCCTACCGAAGAAAAACTAGATGCAGAAGTAGAGTTTACCTCATCATCAGAATGAGCCATGAGGCATAGGTCTTCTGTCTCAGTATCAACGCAACAGAAGGCCTCATCAGAGTCAGAGTCAGAACTGGATTCTGTCTCAGATAGAGGGTCTTTTTCGAGCTGTTCTGTCACGAGTGCTTTCCTTCTTCTGGAATTGTCTTCATATTTCTTCTTTTCTCCATCATGCCCTTGTTTCTTGGACACTCTTGGATGTGGACACTCTGCCTTGAAATGTCTAGGTTGTCTGCAGTTGTAACAGAGAAGCTCACCACTGCTCTCTTTTGCTTTGACCTTCTGGAAGGGCTTTCTGCTGAATGATGGACTTCTTCCATCTTTGGGATTCTTCATAAACTTCTTGAATCTCCTAGCAAAAGCAGCCATATATTCGTCAGATAAAAGTACTGAGGGGTCAAAATCATTTACCTTTGATGTGCTGGCAGTGAGGGCTGTAGTGGTCCTCTCTTCTGGTACATCTTCTTTTTCTTCAATCATTTCAAACTCATGAGCTTTGAGATCTGAAATGAGCTTATCAGTGGGATAAGTCTTCACATCCTTGTTGGCTTGGACAGCAACCACCTTCATCTTCCATGCTGAGGGCAATCCTCTCAACACCTTGAGGTTGATCTCCTTGGTGGTAAGTTCCTTGCCAAGCTCAGAGATCTCTCCAGTGAGAGTGAGGAGCCTGTCATACATCTTGGAGATGCTTTCACCAGGGAGAAGCTTGAAGTCATCAAACTTCTTATTGGCTATTGTCAGCTTGTTGTCCTTCTCCTGCTCATCACCAGCTCCAATGAGCTCAAGAGTATCCCAGATTTCCTTTGTAGTCTTGCACTTCTTTATCCTGTTGAAGTACCTATCATCGATGGACTTGTAAAGAATGTATTTAGCAATGTTGTCCAGATTGTACTTCCTTCTTTCTTCAGTAGTCCACTCAGATTTGGCCTTATTGATCATCTGAGGTCTGGTGTTATCAATAGCATGCTCTGGGTTGACCTTCTGGAAGCTTGTGAAGGGCCCAATGTCAAGTACTTCCCACATCTCATCATGCAGAGCACAGATATGTGCCTTCATTCGGATCCTCCAGTCATCAAACTTGAGATCTGAGAACATAAGATTCCTTGAAAGGGAGTGATCCATTATATCAGATTAAAAATGAGGTAAAACAGAAAAACAAACAAGTGGATCTTTGTTCAGCAAATAACTTAAGAGATTATTAGAACAAGGAGGCTCTGATACCACTTGTTGGTCCCGGTTGAACTGGATACAGTCTAGAGGGGGGTGAATAGATTGTATTGGTTTTTAACTTTTTCAAGCTAAGTACCAGATTTAACAGAATAGCCTGTTCTGTTGGCAGAACAGACTGGCAGCGGATGGGGTTCTGGTAGGGAGTTCTGTTAGTATAGCCTGAGAAAAGCAAAGGCAGTAGGCCTTCTGTTAACTCACAAGACAAGTTCCGCTGAACACAAATACCAAGTCTTTGGAGTTAAGCAGTTCAAATAAAAGCGATAAATAAAATGCAGTAAGTAAATGACATAAGGGCTTTTTATAGTGGTTCAAGGAATAACTTGTTCTTCTAGTCCACTGTTCCACTAAGCTTGTAAAAACGACCGTTTACAATGCCTTAGACCTATCACTTAAGAAGCTCTCCACGTCTTCTTCAAGTGTAGATGTCTTCTTGGATGCACTCCTGGCTTCCCCAAGACTGGTCCTTTCACTGAGCTTTCCGGAAGTATCACCACTTCACTGCTCCAGGTACTTGGACGTCCTTCTTGTGAAAGAAGAGTTTCTGTTCAAAACAGGGGTTCCTCCAACTTGCTTCGTTACAAAAGATTTGTATATGAAGTGCTTGAAGAGTTGAAGAACGATGAGAACTTTGCTTGAGTTGGAAGTATGGATCTTTCCAACGTCTGCCTTCTCTTGTAGAAAATAATGAAGATTTAATCTCAAGGAGGCTTTTTGCGTTTTTAGCGTTTGAATATTTTGTATGCGCACTGTGGTAGCAAAGTTGTCCGGTTATTCTTCGTAGTGTATCTTTTATACTGAGGTTGTCTTCCCGTTGGAGGAGAAGGAGGACAACTGCATTAAATGAGCGGGTAGTTGACTTGACCAGTGGGACCCAACAAAGTTGGCGGGTTACTATTTTTGGATAAAGTTATCCTGACATTGCGGCCAATTGTCTGCAATTACTCTACAGAGTACGGGAGGCATTAAATGTGCATTTAATGCGCGTACTGTATCTTTTCCGTTCAAGACTCCTAGCCGTTGAAGGAATCTTTCAGTTGGTTTACCGGCTTGGCGAAATTATTCTAAGTGTTAGGCCTTCTGATGTCTTTGGCAGAGAGTTGATCAGAGAAGGTCTTGAGCACTTCTGTTGAAGAAATATCCAACAGAGAACCAAGAGGGTTTCTGTCCGAGTAAAGGCTAATAGAGACCCTGAGGTCTTCTGTTCTGAAGCAGAGAACCAAAGGTCTTCTGTTAAAACAGAGCCTTATCAAGGGTCCTCTATCAGGGGGTCTTCTGTTCTGGAGGCCTTCTGCTCTGGAGGCCTTCTGCCAGTCGATTATACTAAAGAACTTTTACAAGGAAAATTCTAATACATTAAATCTAAAGAGGGGTACTCTAAAGTCCTAATTAATATAGCATCATCAAAATCTAATTACAAATATTCCTTACAGATGTCTATGTGGCTGTTTTTGAAATGTCTGTGTGGCTGTTTTTGAGATGTCTGTATGGTTTGTTTGTATATTTTTGTGAACTTCAGATCTGTCTGTATGAATATTTGTGTGTGGCCAGTGTCTATGAATATTTTTAGGATGAAAATTCAAATTCCTCTAAGAGATTACTTCCCAGCCCAATACTTAGTACGGTTAGCCTTCAATGAGGCTTTGGAGTTGTTTAGTGAATGCCTAACACTCAAGCAGATGACATTGCTTCTCAAAACCCCCTGGGGCCATTTACTTGCTTGTCCGCACGTTCAATTCTTAGTGCAGCTAATTCATTTGTTGTTATTGCGCCTTGTGCGTGAGCAGCCTGAGGATGAAGTGTGGTTTGCTATTGAGGTGAAGCTGATGAAGTTCACTTACAATGACTTCAAGAGGATTGTTGGTGTGAAAGATCTAGAATAATGGCCCACTTATGATCTGGATGAAGCAAGGGAGGGCATTGTGGAGAAGTATTTTGGTGGTTGTGATGATGTCACCTATCACAAGTTGAATGTGGAATGATGGTGTTAAGTATGGTGGAGCACCTCATGTTGGACCTCCCATTGATACCGGGATGCGAGTACGCCAACATGCGCAATAAGAGGTGTGACTACGCAAAACGACTTTGGAAGATGAGAGACAACGAGGAATGATGTCACACTTGTTTATACTTGTACATACATTAAACACATATGCAAAGACATAATTTTACCAATTTTATTTTAGATAAGTGCGCCATAATTCTTCGTTGTCTCTCATCTTCCAAAGTCGTTTTGCGTAGTCACACCTCTTATTGCGCATGTTGGCGTACTCTCACCTCGGTATCAACGGGAGGTCCAACATGAGGTGCTCCGCCATACTTAACACCATCATTCCACATTCAACTTGTGATAGGTGACATCATCATAGCCACCAAAATACTTCTCCACAATGCCCTGCCTTGCTTCATCCAGATCATAAGTGGGCCATTCTTCTAGATCTTTCACACCAACAATCCTCTTGAAGTCATTGTATGTGAACTTTATCAGCTTCCCCTCAATAGCAAACCATATTTCATCCTCAGTCTGCTCACGCACAAGGCGAAACAGCAACAAATGAATTAGCTGCCCTGAGAATTGAAAGTGCGGGCAAGCAAGTAAATGGCCCCAGGGGGTTTTGAGAAGCAATGTCATCTGCTTGAGTGTTAGGCATTCACTCAGCAATTCCAAAGCCTCATTGCAGGCTGATTGTACTGAGTATTGGGCTAGGAAGTAATCTCTTAGAGGAATTTGAAGTTCCATCATGAAAATATTCATACACACTGGTCACACACAAATATTCATACAGACCTGTCTGAAGTTCACAAAAATATACAAACATCTCAATAACAGACACCTTAACCCACGAATAAGAACACACTATATAGACATCTTTAAAAGCACAAAACAAGCAACCAATACAACCCAATTAATCAGGGAAAAAACTAATGAGACACATACATCTCATGTACATCAATAACCGAAGGTGAAACCATTTTTATCAGATAGACATACACCTACACACAGTATATGCATCTTAACAAAAGCCATACACACAGGTCTGGACTTCACAAAAATATACAAACAAACCATACAGACATCTCAACAACAGTCACACAGACACCTTAACCCCACACACATCTCAGGTCCACCATAAGACAAGTCTAAAATAAATTCTACAAATAAGAACACACAATACAGACATCTTTAAAAGCACAAAACACGAAAACATGTATTAATCATGGGAAAAACTAATGAAGCACAAACATCTCATGTACATCACAAACAAACAAAATTAAGAACTACAAAGTATTAAGAGTTCATTATGAAATTTGTTTTGTAGATTTTTACCTTTCTGCCAATTGAGTCAATGAAATGCGCACCATTGTAGTGCAGTGAAGCAGACGACGACCGGACGGAGAGTTCATGACTTACGAATGGAGAATGATGAGGGTTATTGGGTTTCCTTCGGTTTATTGGGGAACAAAGAACGATTGAGGAAGAGAAATGGAGAGAGAGGGTTGTTGGGTGGAGCTGTTGTGAACGGAGAATGACGCCGAAGGGGAGGGCTGTGTGGCTTCGATCGAGGAAGAGAAGAAAACGGAGAGGGAGGGTTGTTGGGTTTCTCTGGTTTGTGGGGAGTCAAGAAAGAGAGCCGCATGGGGCAGAGTGGAATAGGCGGCTTTTTTCGGGAAAAAAAATGGCACATGTAGTAGATTAATTCGAAAGTGGGGTGGGTTAGAAAGAGAGGAGTTTTTATTTAGTGTACACTGTCGTGTAACCCGGCGTGTACACATAGCAAAATTGCATGGGCAAAGCTAAAAATCAAATGCAACTTGGGAATGCAATTTAAAAGTTTCACGCATAAATTAAATGAGCTACTGTGGAGACACCGTGCAACCCACTATGGAACAAATTTGGCAACATTAGGACTTGTCATATCAATATTCACCAAATACATTCACTCACACAATGCACGTAGCAATGTCATTCATTTGTCATTTAGATATTACTCTGTAATATATATGTAGATACTCCGTATTTGTTACTTCGTATTTTTTCAAGTGGTGACGGTATTCATACGGAGTATGAATACAGATATTGATGTTTTTGATCGGTAAAACAATGAGCCCAAAACATTTTGCTTTTAGATATTAGTACGGAAAAGGTACTTGTGGTTGAGCCCGTTTTTAGATAGGGTCATGTGTTTCATTTCTTTATCAAAGTGGTTCATGTGTTTAAATTCCGTTATCACAAGAGGGTCACACCGTTAAAAACGTCTGAAAAAAACCGTTAAAAAGTAACGCTGATTTCTAAAAGTGCCCGATAAATTAAAAGAAAAATACCAGAAGGTGCGCCTCAATAAGACGACCGCTAGGCCATCTTTCTTTTTTGTTTTCAGTCACCATTGTCACCGGAAAGTCCATCGGAAAAGTGATATTAGTGAAAAATCTAAAGACGAAGGTGGTTTGGAGGTCATCTTGATGAGGCGCACTTTTCAGTATTTTTTGGTTAATTTTTCGGGCACTTTTGAAAATCGGAGTTAATTTTGACGGTCTTTTTCAGATGTTTTTAACGGCATGATTCTCTTATGATAACGGAATTCAAACACATGAACTACTTTGATAAAGAATGAAACACATGACCCTATATGAAAACGGGCCCAACCACAAGTACTTTTTCCGCACTTTTGCCTTTTTTCTACCAAGGAGGTGTTCGTGAGTCATGGAGGAGTTGCCTTTTTTCCACAAGTACTAATTTTTTATTTTATATGGTGCATATTATATTTGTATCAATGCTAAAATAAGTTATAGTTTATTATGTGTGTAAAAAATTATTTTAGAAAGTAAGTAGTAAATGAATTGTAATTTAATGTCAAAAAACATTTATAATAAGTACTCTAAGTTTTAAATAATGAGTTGTTCTATTGTTTATTTGGGTAAGTAATGATAAAAAACTAGATGTTTCTTCTTTTAAATATCCTATTAAGTATAATATTATGTAATACTACATATTAATTTTGAAAGCGAAAAGGTAAGGAGGCGAACACATATCTAATTAACATATGCAAATTTTATGAAACTATTACATATATAATAGAAAATTTTGAAAGTTCAAGAGCCCCCCTCCCCAAATTCATCCCTGCTAGTAAATAGTAATTAACTTTTACTGTTATGTAACTATTTTTATATTGATAAAATAAATAAATATCAATTCAACTATGTTGGGATATTGGGCCAAAAGCCCAATATATTAGGCCCACTAGTTAGCAAGGATACAGATGAAGAATAAGCCCAGTAACTAATCATACCGAACGAGATCCAGTGAACCGTGAAGGATTATGCCCTGAACGGGGATCGGGTCATGCATGTAACTTGGATTAGATTGATAAATGATATCAGCATAAACATCGTTCTGAAGCCCGAACGGGCATCATGCAAGTGGCAAGGGACATTTAATGCTAAGGTATGGCGTCAGCAAGTGGGAGTATGGGCATCCAAGTGGCTCGAGAACGACAGCAAGTCAGATTCAGCCACGTCATCACCCCCATCCCATTTTATTAGTATAAATAGGGGCTTAAATCTCATTGTAAAGGGTTAGCATTTTGAGACTCAAGACCTAGAATAGCTTTCTCATTCTTATTATTGTATTATGACTATTCCGACATACCGTTTGGAAAGTTTCCTGTGTAATAGCGAATTGCTTAATACAGTTGGGCTTTTGAGCATATTATTATTCAGCTTTTATATTTTCTTAGACCCTCGACTTATTTTCTATATCCTTAATATCCAAAGCGTGTGTTGGGCTTTCGGATCTGCGGGACTTAACCTCAACATTGGCGCTGTCTATGGGAAACTTTGAACAAAAAGTTTTCAACCCAACTATTTTATCCAAACATCAACTTACCATCACGATGGTCAGAATCATCTCTCATCATACCAATGAAGATTCGGAGCGACGCGGAGGGAGCAGGACTCCGGGGAACTGGAACCCCAAGGGCAATCCAGCCGGGGGTCTTACCAACATTTTGATGGGGACTTCTTCATCCCCGAAGCACTGAGGAGGAACCCCCACGCCATGCGGGATCTAGCCCAAGTAATTCACCATATGGCGGATGAGCAAGACGGGGGGCGATCCAGCTACACAGGGAAAGCCGGGTACACGACCCCGTCCCCACTCTGATCGATGCAATCATTTGATGAGGAGACCACCGATACAGAGACAACCATGGCTTCGACCCATTCACGAGCCCATCGGGGAGATCACCGAAGGACTCACACATCTAGGGGCAGGCAGCACACTCCCAGTGACCACACCCCGATCGGGTCCCGAGCAAGAGGAACTACACCAGTTGGGCATCGTTTCCAGTATGAAGAACGCGATAACACCAGATTCAGATGGGGATGGCGGAATCAGAGAACACCCCCACCGGAAGGAAATCGAGAGTTTTTTAATCTAGGAACTCCAGCACCATCTCCCCTAACGGCTCAGGAGGAAGAAATGGTTAAAATGAGGAGGCAGATGAATGAGATGAGGGATCAGATGAACAGGGCACTCTTACAACCTACCCCCGTGCGGGCCGGGATCACTTCCCCCTTCACCCGGGAAATAATGAATGCAGAGATCCAGAGGGATGCCAAACCACCAACCGAACAGACATATGACGGGGCAGGAGATCCCCACGTACACTTGAGAAGTTACCAAGGAGGGCTCATGCTATTGGGAGCAACAGAGGCAGCCATTTGCCGACTGTTCTTCCGCACGCTCAGGAGACCCGCCCGGGAGTGGTTCGGAACCCTACAGCCTGGATCGATCGGCAGCTTTGCCGAATTATCGTCCTTATTTTTGGCACAATTTGCTTCCAGTGCCACCCCAAAATGGCACTTCAGTTACGTGACCAGTGTTAAGCAGGGACCAAGGGAATCCATCAATCAGTTTATGAAAAGATGGAGAGATGAAACCCTGAAGGTTGGAAGCATGACGGAGGATACGTAAATTACCCTGTTCATTATTGCCCTCCGAACGGGAGAGCTGTACAAGGATTTGAAAAAAAATTCGGGTGCGGCGTATGCCGAAGTGCTGGACAGGGTCCGAAAGCATGCAGCCCTGGAGGAAGAAATCATGATCAGGGATAAGGTGGCTACACCGTCTTCTCCAACAAGACTGGCCGATCGGCTGGCTCCTATTCCAGCGGCCGCACCTCCTCCTAAGCCTGGACACTTCACCCCGCTCATCCTTTCCATTGCGACGAGTTTTCAGCATGAGAAGAACAATATTCCCTTCCAACTGATACCAAATCTTTCATGGGATCAGATGAGAATGCCTTATGTAAGTACCACAAGCGGAAGGGTCACCCACCCATTTCTGCCGAGCATTACAAATAGCTATCAAGGAACTAATCCAGCGGGGTCACTTGGACAAATATGTGAACAAGGATCTGAGTGCTTTAGGCCTCCCGAAGCAATTCAAGAAACCCAATAGCTGGAGACAGGATGATCAGCATGATGTTTAGCCCCGGAATGATGTCTACGTTACCCCAGAGACGAAACATAGGGTTCGGGGAACCTGGGAAAAAAGCCAAGGATGGAGGTGAAGGTGATATTTGGGGGCGGAGAAACAGGGGATTCAACTTCCGAACGAAAAAGGTTTGAACGAAGCCTCTATGTGGGATTTGGCCCCCCTCCCCCCCAAAGAAAGGGAGAATGGAGCAGATCATGTTCGGACCTGCAGATTGGCCCAATTCACCAAGTCCGCACAGGGACGAATTGGTGATAAGCATGTGCATCGTCAACACATTAATATGCCGGGTGTTGATAGATACAGGGAGCAGTGGCAACGTGCTGTACTTACAATCGTTTGAAAAAAATGGGGCTGCAGAGGAATTAGTTGACCCACCTGAAGACACCACTTGCGAGCTTTACTGGGAACTGCATTGAGGCAGAGGGACCTATCCAGTTGCTGGTCGTAATTGGGGATGAAGCCCATAAGGCATCGGTCCAAATGACGTTCGTGGTGGTGGACATCAAATGTGGCCATAATGCCTGTAAGGAATAATTGTAATTAGATTTTGATGATGCTAGATTAATTAGGACTTTAGAATACCCCTTTAGAAATTATGTATTAGAATTTTCCTTTGTAAAGTTCTTAGAAGTATTCGACTTGACAGAAGACCTTCAAGAGCAGAAGGGCTTCAAGAACAGAAGGACTTCAAGAGCAGAAGTGCCTCTTAAGGCATTATTGAAACAGAGGACCTTTGGTTCTCTGCTCCAGAACAGAAGTCCTCAGGATCTCTGTTAGTCTTGACTCTGACAGAAACCCTTCTGGGTCTCTGTTGGATACTCCCAACAGAAGTGCTCCAGACCTCCTCTGTTCTACTCTCAGACAAAGACACCAGAAGGTCTAACACTTAGAAGATTTTCAAAGAACCGGGAAGTCAACTAAAAGATTCCTTCAACGACTAGGAGTATGAAACGGAAAAGCTACAGTGCATGCATTAAATGCTCATTTAATGCACCCCATGCTACGTAGAGTAATTGCAGATGATTGGCCGCAATGTCAGGAATACTTTATCCCAAAATAGTAACTCGCCAACTTTATCGGGCTCTACTAGTCAAGTCAACTGATCGTGCATTAAATGCAGTTGTCCTCCTACTCCTCCAACGGGAAGACAACCTCAGTATAAAAGATACGCTACGAAGAACAACCAGATAACTTTGCTATAACTTTGCCTAGATAACTTTGCAACTTTTACAAGCAAGATATTCAAACTCTGAAACGCAAAAAGCCTCCTTGAGATTCAAACTCATTATCTTCTACAAGAGAAGGCAGAAGTTGGAAAAATACTCTTTCCAACTCAAGCAAAGTTCCAAGTGTTCTTCAACTCTTCAAGCTCATCACATACAAATCTTTTGTAACGAAGCTAGTTGGAGGAACCCCTGTTTCAACAGAAACTCTTCTTGCTACAAGAAGGACGTCCAAATAACTGGAGTAGTGAAGTGGTGATACTTCAAGGAAACTCAGTGAAAGGACCAGTGTTAAAGGAAGCCAGGCAGTGCATCCCAGGACACATCTAGACTTGAAAAAGACGTGGAGTGCTTCTTAAGTACTAGGACTAAGGCTTTGTAAACGGCAGTTTTTACAGCTTAGTGGAACAGTGGATTAGAGGAACGAGTTGTTCCTTGAACCACTATAAAAATCCCTGGTGTCGTTTACTTATTGCTTTTAATACTTGCATTTAGTTAGAACTGTATAACTCCTTGGACTTGGTATCTGTGTTCAGCAGAACTTGTTCTACGAGTTAACAGAAGGCCTACTGCCTATTGCTTCTCTGAGGCTAACAGAACTCCCTACCAGAACCCCATCCGCTGCCAGTCTGTTCTTCCAACAGAACAGGCTATTCTGTAAATCTGGTACTTAGTTTAAAAAGCTAAAAACCAATACAGTCTATTCACCCCCCCTCTAGACTGTATCCAGTATAACCGGGACCAACAAGTGGTATCAGAGCCTCCTTGTTCTAATAATCTCTTAGGTTATTTGTTGAACAAAGATCCACTTGTTTTTCTGTTTGACCTCATTTCTATCTGATATAATGGATCACTCCTTGTCCAAGAATCTTATGTTTTCAGATCTTAAGTTTGATGACTGGAGGATCCGGATGAAAGCACATCTCTGTGCCCTGCATGATGAGATGTGGGAAGTTCTAGATATTGGCCCCTTCACAAGCTTCCAGAAGGTCAATCCTGAACATGCCATAGACAACACCAGACCCCAGATGATTAGTAAAGCCAAGTCAGAATGGACCACTGAAGAGAGAAGAAAGTACAACCTAGACAATATTGCCAAGGACATCCTCTACAAGTCCATTGATGATAGGTACTTCAACAGAATCAAGAAGTGCAAGACTGCTAAGGAAATCTGGGATACTCTTGAGCTCATTGGAGCTGATGATGAGCAAGAGAAGGACAACAAACTAACCATAGCCAACAAGAAGTTTGATGACTTCAAACTTCTCCCTGGTGAAAGCATCTCCAAGATGTATGACAGGCTCCTCACTCTCACTGGAGAGATCTCTGAGCTTGGCAAGGAACTTACCACCAAGGAGATCAACCTGAAGGTGTTGAGGGGACTGCCCTCAGCATGGAAGATGAAGGTAGTTGCTGTCCAAGCCAGCAAGGATGTAAAGACTTATCCCACTGATAAGCTCATTTCAGATCTCAAAGCTCATGAGTTTGAAATGATTGAAGAGAAGGAAGATGTACCAGAAGAGAGGACCACTACAACCCTCACTGCCAGCACATCTAAGGTAAATGATTTTGACCCTTCAGTACTCTTATCTGATGAATATATGGCTGCCTTTGCCAGGAGATTCAAAAAGTTTATGAAGAATCCCAAAGATGGAAGGAGTCCATCTTTCAACAGAAAGCCATACCAGAAGGTCAAATCAACAGAAAGCAGTGGAGAGCTTCTCTGTTACAACTGCAGACAACCTGGTCACTTCAAGGCTGATTGTCCCCATCCTAGAGTGTCCAAGAAGCAAGGACAGGATGGAGAAAAGAAGAAGTACGAGGACAACTCCAGAAGAAGAAAGGCACTTGTGACAGAACAACTGGAGAAAGACCCTCTGTCAGAAACAGAATCCAGTTCTGACTCAGATTCTGATGAGGCCTTCTGTTGCCTGGATACTGAGACAGAAGACCTTTGCCTCATGGCTCATTCTGATGATGAGGTAACCTCTACTTCTGAATCTAGTTTTTCTT